TGTTTCTTATGAGGATGTAAATGAATAATCTACTATTGTCATCATATCTTCATCAGTTAAGTCAAGCCAGATTTTCTTTTTGAGGCTGTGCGTGTGACGTTAATATGTAAACGTGTATGACATGGTTGAAAAACTTCCATGAAATCAGAAACTGACACCTCTGACTTCCAAGGGACTCACAGCAGTGCACGTTCACCATATTTTAACGTGTTATTTGACTCAGTAATGCTGCTTCTTTCAATTTTAACAAGAACATCTTACAGAGTGCAGCTTTAATGGGGGCATTTTCGCCTATAAGTGGATTTAAGGATTAGAAACATATGGTGCGAAATATGGTGCCTTTAAATCAGGGGTGCACAATCTGGTCCTGGAGGGCCAGTGTCCAGCAAAGTTTGGAGGTTTCTGTACTCAAACACACTCACTAAACCTGGAAAATGAACAGATACGTGTAGTCAGGTGTGTTTAAGTAGGTAAATCACCAAACTCTGCTGGCTTCTGGCCCTCCAGGACCAGAGTTGTGCACCCCTGCTTTAAATAATCAATCAGTCACACACCGAAAAACCCAGTTAACTTGTCTGCCATCTATAATAATCAGCAAGGCCACTCAACACTGCTGAGAGTATAGATCGGATTCCACTTTAATATACCTTCCAATATATTCACATGGGTTTAATCTTTGCAAGGTCAGTAGATTTCCAGTATATGCCCTGTATTGGACATACCTATATATTTACATCCCCTGTCTCCATGGCAACAGATGCTGATGCTAAGCTAAATACTAGAATGGGTGGTAATTACTGAACCTAAAAGAGGATCATATTAACATCTCTTGACTTTACACATTTCTTGGCTCCTTTGCCCTGAAAAAAGGGAAAAAGAAGGGAAAATAAAGTCTTATATGCAGGGAATGATTTCACATTAGTGTGCAAGACATGTCAGTAGATGGTTAATAATGTATAAAACAACAGTGCCACGTTTCAGCTAAAATCTGTCTCTTTTATGAATCAGGGCTGCAGAATATACAAATTTACAAAGACAGATTTCCAGTATGACAAAGTTAACAAGCACATACAGTGTCATTGATGCAAAGCACTGCTCTTATTAAGCATCAAAAGCTTTTTGACTGCTAATGTTGCCCCCTTGTTGAAAAAGTTCCAGCCTGATAAATGTCAGATTGAGTTACGAGCTAGTTCCATGAGGTGCTTCACATCTAAAAATCAAATGCATTGATTGTAGAGATCCAACGCGTCAACTATAAGAACCAACTGTTCACTTACCATCTAATATATCCAAGACTTTGACATGTGCCATTTTTACAAGACAGTCAGTGCTGAGTGATCATAATGTTTTGGCTCATCATTGTTTGCTGTAATACAGTAAATGGCATTTTCATGGTCCTGATTTCAGATAAGCATAAAAGGGTGACATCGACTAACATCCAGTGACCCCCAGACACCTTTGTACAAATGACCCTGTTGGAAGCCTTTTGAACGAGCCCCCTCACTTACTAATTAGTATGTATTCCTCATATTTTTCCTACCTGGCTCACAAAGACAAATCAATCACTCGTGCCTGTGAAGCATCAGCTGGCTAATGCTACGCACTAGCACGTGGCTTGTAGGCTTTTCTGTTCGAGGGCCTGAATTTAATTTGCAACAATTAAACTATTGCTCATGCAGTGAGAAACAAGAAGGGAGGGAGGAAGGAGTGTGATATATGAGGGAGTCAAAAAATTGGCATCTTGGGATATCGTGCATAATTCTGAAGCAATTATCATTTTGATAAAAGAGGAAGAAAAAAATCTTTCTTTTTCTGTCAAAAAAGAGTTGTGGAAGACGCTGACGGATGAGCCCGGCGCTGGGATGTTTCGGCCGTGACATCACAGGCCTCTGAGTGTAGGCCTCTAACAGTGGTGGCATTGTGATAGAGCACAATACAAGTGCAACTTCTGTGCCAAGTGAGGACGTGGCTCAGTTTAGTAAAACAATGCTTTGAATAATTCTGAATATGTGTGCAGTAATAACGGGATTATGGTTGGTCCTTTTTCAGAAGATGTGAAAACAAACCAATGCTGAACTCCTGATTCAGTTAGCTGTGCCTGGGGCCCTAATTTGCTATGCAGATGGCTATCTAATCAGTCTGAGTGCTATTGCTGGCAGGACTGCAGAAATCTCATGTTTTGCTGAACGATGATGATGATGATGATATGCAGGATAAACCCATTCTGCAAAGAGCGTCTCTTCTCCTTCCAGCAGACGCAGGGCTGTGGCTGAATGCACAATGAGCTGAACTCTGCTGTAGCCATGTTCTCACACAAACTACTACACTGCAGAGTGAGGGATATTGCGTATGCCTACTGAACCTAGAGCTTTCCATTTTACGGTGATATCAACATTTGAGTAATATTGTAAATGTAATGTTAATTTACACTATATACATAAAACATTATGATTACTCACAGAAGAAGCAAATAATATTGATTATCTAGGAACAACAGCACATGTCAAGGTCTGGGATATATTAGACGTTAAGCGAGTAGTTGGCTCACGTGGTCGACGCATTGGATGCTGGAGAAATGGGCAGGCGAGAAGACCTGGGTGACTTGCAGGTGTTGGAACTGGATCTTGGCAGAATGGAAGAAGGTCACTTGGACCAATGAGTCCCCTATTCCTTTACATCACATGGACGGTGAGGAGAGTCCTTAGGAGGTGCACAACTCCAGTCTTGGTGGGCCGGTGTGCAGGACAGTTCCCTTAATCAAACACATCCACTAAACCTGGCAATTAACAGGTGAGTTATCAGGTGTGTTTGAGCAGGTAAATCACCAATCTATGCTGGACATCGGCCCTGCAGGACCAGAGCTGTGCACCTTCTGCCCAAGGGGTTTTTATTCTTTTTGGATATTCTGAGAGCTGATGTGTTGGGGCATAATACAGAATTCAATTTGCTTGTACCAGGAAACTACTCTGTTCTGATGTGTCTGGCTTGCCAAGCTATTTCACTTCTAAATATTATCCATGTTCATGCATGCATCAGACATTTAGCTGAAGCTATATATATAAAATGAAGTGCTTAGGATATTTTAAATGTATTTAGAGCTCTTTATGATGAAGACACTCAGTCTGAGTTTAGTTTAAAGAGCCATTAACCCTTAAAAGTAACAGAGATAATAAAAGCATGGTGTGATTTGTTTTTATTTATCACTCTTATCTCATCAAACCAAGCAGCAAACTTATGTCTAATGTTCAGTGTTTGTCATAAGGAAGGGGATTTTTTTTTGAGGAAAGGAGTGCAAGGAGTTGTTTTGTGGAAAGAAAAGCATACCTTACATCAAAAGTGCAGAACTTAGGGCAGGATATAGTATTTATTGCGCAGTAAACTTAGCTATTATGGGAAAATGTTGAATTACTTCAAATCATACTTGGCGCTGTATGAATAACAAATAAAAATGTAGCTGTTTTTATTATAACAAAGAACACTTCTAACACTGACTGTTGATTGTCCTGTTCAAGATGGCCATTAATGAAATTGCATATATGGGTAAATACGAAGGCCAAAAAGGTTCTTTTAGCGTTATTAAAAATGTGCTTTCAAAAGGCCCATATCCTACATTTTCCTTGCATTTGATTTTTCCCTGCAGCCCACCTTTAACATTTGTGTGGTTTGTGTAAACAGTCACAACTCAATTTTACCAGTTTCTCTGTATCCATTACAGTTAAACAGGCTGTTTTTGTTACTGTGCCTTTAAACTCATTTATGTAAATAAGCTCTGTTCTCTTTGGCCACCCTGTCCAGGTTGTCCAGGCTGAAACACTGCTTGCTAACTTCAGTGTAAACTACTGCAGGCTGAATAGGCAGATATATAAATGTGTTGGGTTTTGTGACATCACAGAAACAATTCATTTACAACAGCCTGTTTTTCCAGCCTTGCTTCCATAAAGTGAGGAAAATTCAGTTTTCTGTGATATAAGCCCTACATTCTAAAATGATTTTTTGCTCATTTGATGTCTTTTTACTGTTCTTTATGATTATACTGTTTAATCATCCTCAACATTAAAACTGCATTCTTGTTTGAGTGAAAGAATGTTCAACACAGACAGGCCAGTGCATGGCGGAAATTTGTTTGTGCTCTCCTGTAAAATGTGTCAAATCTCACTTACGCCTCTCCAGTTCCAAGCTCTCACACAATCTGTCTATGTATTTAAAAATGTATTTTCAAAGCCATAACATTAAAAACAATTCCTTGTTTCTACACTTATTGTCCATTTATCAGCTCCACTTACCATATAGGTCTGCTTTGTACGTCTACAATTACAGACTGTTTAGTTTAGTTCTCTGCATACTTTGTTAGCCCCCTTTCACCCTGTTCTTCAATAGTCAGAACCCCCACAGGACCCCCACAGAGCAGGGATTATTGGGGTGGTGGATCATTCTCAGCAGTAGTGTGTGTTGCACTGGTATGACACAGCAGTGCTGCTGGCGTGAGAATAGCCCACCACCCAAAAATATCCAGCCAACAGCTTCCTGTGCGCAGCATCCCATGGGCAGCATCCTGTGACCATAGATGAAGGACTAGAGGATGACTAAAACAAACTGTGCAGCAACAGATGAGCTACTGTTTACATCTACAAGTTGGATCAACAAGGTAGGAGTGTCTCATAGAGAGGACAGTGAGTGGACACAGTGTTAAAAACCTGTAGCAGCACTGCTGTGTCTGATCTACTCATACCAGTGCAACACACACTAACACACCACCACCACGTCAGTGTCACTGCAGTGCTGAGAATGATCCACCACCCAAATAGTACCTGGTCTGTGGTGGTCCTGTGGAGGTCCTGACCATTGAAGAACAGGCTAAAGGGGGCTAACAAAATGTACAGAGAAACAGATGGACTACAGTCTGTAACTGTAGAACTACAAAGTGCTCCTATATGGTAAGTGGAGCTGATAAAATGGACAACGAGCAGCTTTATTCTGAACATTTTTTGTAATGTGGTCACCTGTCTGTGTCCAAAGTCGTTGAGGATGGTGGCCAGTTTCTTGGTGCTGCCATGCTGCCTTTGAGCTGGGATGGCGGGGTTGGGGTCCCTCCAGTCCACAGAAAGCCTGTGGAGCCACATGTGGGAATCCTGCAGGTGAGCTTCTTTGATGCTGGGGTCAAAACAATGAACTTCACATCCTGCCTTAGCCAACACTTTCTCTAACCACTTATCCTCACCACCCAACCTAATGAGAGAGAGAGAAAGAGAGAGAGAGCATTTATGCAAAGGCCCTGAACTCTGAGGCACGGGTAAGCTTTTAACAGTTTGTCTTAAACTCCTACTCAGCTGCCCTTAAGAGCAAAGAAGGAAGAAAGGTTTTAACAGCCTCAGAAGATATGCCCAGTAAGTGCACAATTAAGCTGCAGAGAGCCAAAGTTCAGACTGAAATTGACGAGATGCAGCTGTGCTCCAGCTGAAGGAGGATCTACCTTCAGGTTAAGAGGCTCTAGAGTCAATTGGACGCAGTACAGTGCAAAAAGGTTGTTATGTTTGTCTGTTCAGATATGATCTTTTAAGTTGTGGATAAAAAGAGGACTTGTCCTGTGCTGCCTTCAGTATGAATTAAACATTAGCTGGTAAAATATATTCATTTCAGCCCTGCAGTTTTATGAGGTGCATTAAGGTAGTTTAATCCCTCAGTTAGTTTTTCCCAACCTCAAATGCAACCTTTTGCCCCCCCAAATCCCGCCCCAACCGTGTGCCTGCTCTGAACTCTTTGCTTTCATTATTTAGGCTTTATATAAATACAGTTTTGACTTTTTCAGTTATTACAGTCAGTGTTATAAACATGTTGGCCTACATTTAATTAATTTATTTATTTGCTGCGAAGTGTTGTAAAAGTGTGCAACGTGCATTAAAGCTTTTTATAATGTCAAACACCATAGTGTCATACCAACATACCAACAAAATGCACTTTGCTCCCCTAGAATGGACTTCCTGATGTGTCAAATTTACCTCTGCATTCAGTGGAATTTTCTGTTGCGTTTGTACATCGTTAATATGCTGGCTGATTTTGCTTAGCATCCGCTTTTTAATTTAATTTTCCATTTTTATTTTTATTTTGAGCATGTGAAAACTAAGATTTACATTCACAGCCCAGAGGCTGCAGCAAAGAAAAACAAACATGAGTCTCAATGGTAACCCTTTAGACTTGACATATATGGCATCCTTCCTTGCGTCCTACGTCCTGCAGTGCTGCAGCACTCTCTAGTTTTCTGGTTCAAGAACAACGGAAAACTTAGGAAAACCCTTTCTGATGATGCATCTTGAAGGTAGGAGGAACACTTTCAAAAACTACAATTACTTTGGGGTAGACTTTTTTGTTAGCTGGTGAATGGAGATAATGGAGCTAATATTACTGCTAGGAAGCAGACCCTGTTATTGCCATTCTATAACTGTAGTAACTGCCTTCAAATCATCGGTACAGCAGAGAGAATGTAAAACTGAAATGATACGCCAAATATAGACAACAAGCAAAAAGCTAAAGTAAGCAAGGTAGCTGGCTATCTAGATACCTTAACTCATTTTGGCTTCTTTTCTCTGTCTGAAAGAGTAAAAACATGCCTCTGCCATAAATTTTGTACTAAATAAAGATAGAATCATTGTTTTGTTTTTAGTTACCATAATGCTACCTTGGTCATATTTATTGGCTTTTAGATCAGTGGCTAGGTTGACACCACAGGGATTCCCAATGGTTGTGTGATGTATTTGCACAATGTATGCTAGGTATTGTAGTGAGGGAACACTGATGTATTAAAGCATTAAAATAAAATAAAACTGAATTCTGTCAAACTGATGGTTGGGGGATATAATGCTGCACTACAGAATACTGCATAACAAATATTAACACAAACATATTATCATTATTATTATGTAGTTTTAGGCCAGAATGCCCTTTTAACACAAGTAGATTGCTTTGACACAGCAAAATTGTGACAACATAATCGCTTGCTGGTAATGTTATTCATTTAACAAGGCAGTTTATGTGCTAAAAGGTTTATATACCAGAATGCTAAAGTAGTCTTTTCACTTCTGGCTGTATAACCAAGTCAACAGACTGGCGCAGCACTTGTTCAAAACACTGCATTTTGCACAACCTACTCAAGCTCCGTCTCTACTTCTGATGTTCTGCTCATGTATTCATGCCTCCCTCCCTCTCTTTCTCGTTTCCACAGTTAAATTGTAGCTGAGGGAGGCTCGCTCCGACATGATCACTTGCGGTTGGTTTATTGCGTTTTTGCACTGTCTTTCAGGAAGAGAGAGAGAGAGAGAGAGAGAGAGAGAGAGATGTATCTGTCTCCAGCACTTCTGAATGATTCATTTAGCTCTAGCACTAAACACCCAAAGACACTTAGATCATTTCTTGTACTGCAATGTGTCTCGCAGGGGAGCTGGTAAAGGAGATCAGAGAGAAAGAACTTCAGAGATCTAATGCAGACTCTACACTTACCACTGAGACCTCTGTGCTTCATTTGCACAGTTAACGTATAGCATATACTTCAATTGAATGGTAAAACCGCAACTAATGTGATCCATGAACTTTGCATAGATGAACAAGTACAACATCCAGTCAGCATCTGGTGCACCTAACACCAAAAATGGTGAATGATTCTAAAAGGTCATGATCTGGTGTAGTGGCGTAACTAGGATCTTGTGGACTGCAGTGAACATCATTTAATCTAGCCCCATACAAAGACTACTTTCAATGAATTAAAAAAGACAACGTAATTTGCTTGTTTACTCACTATCGTTATGTCTCACTGGAAAGTTACCTCAACCCCATCGTCTCACACAATGAGACAGCTCAGTTTATTTTCCTTTTAAAGTTGTACTTTTGAAGTATTTTGGTAACAAAATATAACGTAATGTCGATTTGAAACCTACCTACCTTCTTTATTTGCTTTACTGTTTTCTTCTTGCCCTGCAGGTTGTGAAGGATCTGTTTGAGAACAGCTGCCAAGGGTGAGATGCAGGGAGATAAACAGCCATCAGGGCTGTCTGTGTAGTGTTAATGGAAGCTGACTGGTGAGGTACTGTATGTAGGGAAATTGAATCTTTCTGTGAGTCATGAGTGCACAATTGTGTCAGTATTTATTTAAGAGGGCCCAATAAAGATTTAAAAAATCCTGATCACCACAGGCCCTCTAGTGCTATGAGCCCCACTGCAACTGCCCCCATAATAGTTATTTCACAGTTGTCACAGCTCACCTTGTTACATTGTTTTGTTGTCAAACTTTGTTGTCTAGAAATGTGAGAATGTGTCCAATATAGTCTAAGGCTTGCTTTGCACTATGAAACTTTCATGCAACTAGTTGCATGTTGTAAGTTGCATGCAACAATTTCTGCGCAACTAGTTGCACAAAGCAATTTAAAAGACAAGTTGCTTGCAACACATGTGATTACTCAGTGAGATTTTCCAGCTGTCACTACCATTCTTTTAAATATGTACATCTGTCTATTATATATCTAGAGTTTTTACTATATATTTCAGTTTTTAGTCTGTTTTGTGTTTGTTAAGCCTTTGAATATTAATGTGTAATTTGCCATTACTGTTGCACCTAATGCTTTGCTCATCCTGTCCTAGAAGCACTGTATGCATCTCAGGATCCCCTTCTGTAATATATATATATATATATATATATATATATATATATATATATATATATATATCATTCAGACCCCAAAGGAATCTGAGCTCTGTGTAAAAATAAATAACTACATAGATTACCATAACCACAGACTAAATAAGAATAAATGGTGGCCTAGGCAGCTGTTTAAACAGCTGTTGCTATTAGCTGGCTACTTGAGACATCTGGTTACAGAAATTATAACTTTGAGAAACTCATGTTTGTTTGTTATAATCCAGGAAATTAGCGAATCCAAACATTACCGACCTTGCATAAAGTGAGTCAGAAACTCTTATAACCATCTAATAAACCACATATTGTCTTGTCCACTGACCTATAATCAACTGTTTGTAATGAAGTTATTTTGACTTAGACATTTTGATTTATTTTGATATTAGACATTTTGAGCTGTTTTGTAAAATTTCTTCCACAAAGTTGAGACTCTTGCAATTGCTGTGACTTCAGGTTATGCAACTCAAGAGCAATTTGGTGTCATGTAAGTTTCAAGCTTCTAAAGTTGCATGAAAATTTCACAGTGTAAAACCAGCCTAAGCATTACAAAAGGGCCTTAGACAACATGTCTGTACATGCACCGTTTGGTAAATTAATTCCAGACACATTCAGATGTACATATGTTAAATTTTTCATTACAGTACAAGCCAGATAAGTAGGTTATTACCTTACAGCTGTGCAAAAGAGAGAGAGAAAGAGGGAAAGAGAGAGACATTTAGAGACCTATAGAGATGTAACCTCTCCTTGTGCCACAGCACCATTACTCAGTAAGGAATAGAAGCACACTCAGAAGGGCGGTAATGCTCAAGCTATATAAAATTTGCTGACTCGGCAACTGGAGGATAAGACAGAGTCCTGAGGACAAGATATCTGACATAACTGGCAATGATCCAGACATGACCTTCACCACATGAGCTGTAGAGGCACACACACCTTTCCCCACAGGGTCTGCTAAGGTGTATATGTGTGTTTGGGTGGGGTGCGCAACACTGAGGAGGGCCTGAGGGTGTAAATTGTAATATAGTTTTGAAGGGTTATTTTCCCATGGAACGAATAAGACTTCTACTCCATATATCCTTTATTTATTTATCTGTCTACCTACAGCTGGGTGACAAATGAAAGGAAAAAAAAATGAATAAAAAAGTGGAGAAACATAACAAGGGCATAGCTTTCCAGACAAGTGTACAGCGTGATACAATTAAGCAAAATTACGAAAAATGCCAGTTGACCTTGATTTTGGATCAAGAACAAAAGGTCTTAGTGATTTTGAAAGAGGCTCCAATATTGGGTCTTGGATAGCAGGAGCCTCAGTCACAAAGACTGTTAAACTGGCTGAAGTTTCAATAGCAGTAGTGACTACATCTGCATATAGATCTGTGGGAAAAACATCAGTAAATATGGCTCTGAATTGCACTGCAAATCTAAACAAAGTTATTCTGTCTAATCACCTATGGTGAAACATGTCTTTCCTGATGGGAGTGGATGACAATGCCGCCAAACACAGGGCAGAAGGGGTCACTGAATGGTTTGAGGACTATGAAAATGATGTAAATCATATGCTATGGCCTTTATAGTCACCAGATCTCAACCCAGTTGCACACATATGGTAGATTTTAGACTGAAATACAGAGCTCTCCACCACCATCACTAAAACACCAACTGCAAGAGTATCTTTCGGAACGGTGTTCCATCCCTCCAGTAGAGTTCCAGACACTTGTTCAATCTATATAGAGGTGTATTAATGCTATTCCGACAGCTCATGTTGGCCCAACACCTTACTTAAACACTTTATGTAGTTTTTTCCTTTAATTTGTCTCTGTCTGCCTACCTTTTTTATTCGTTAAGATTTTACGTTTGCTCAAGCTGAGTCTTACTTCATATTTATTGTAGCTTGTGTAGATCTTCTACAGGCTTCAAGTAAACCTTTGAAGGTTTCTCCTCCTTGCAAGATGAGATACAGTTTAGCTGATTTGCTGTTGGAATTCTAATAGACCGAATTGTCCCAGTAGTTGTCATTGTGCTCTGCGTTTATTATTATCCACTCTATGCTGCATTTGGATGCAGACACTTTTGCTGTAAACATTGTCTAAATGTGCTGTATTTTAGTGATGCAGTCACACTTTCATGAGGAGAATGATTTGCTTTACAGTAATGAAAATGAGTTAATTCACTCTTTACACAGCTGTGCTCCCAGGCGCCAGTGCTTTGATGTAGTTTTGTGTAATGATACATTAAAGAAGTGTTTTAGTCTGTATAGCACTATATAATTATACAATTATACAATTATATAAGTCCTGCACTATATGATTTTTCCAGAAATATGATTGTGGTGGTGATGTGCCACCAAGGTACCAGTGTGGTGTTGTAATGGCCCTTGCAGCTATAAAGATGACTACAGTCTTTGGCTGTGATTTAAACACGTTTGTGGGCACTGAAGCAGTACTGTAATAGATGAAGAAACCGACTGAGGAAGTGGCAGCAGTTGGTATCACTCTCCTTACCTTCACTGTTTAGATCTGACAAAATGGTCCATGGCTGTTTCTCAGCATGTGTTCTTGTGTGTTGTCACATTCTGGTGTGAGTTCTTAACAAGTTACCTTGCAAGAGTGATCTCGCAAGAACACGAGACTGTAACAACTCTTTAAATCCATTCATAGTGAAGAGGTAAATGCAGGGTGCTGTGAGACAAAATAGTCCCCAAAACATTTTTTTTTGTAATTTTCTACTATAAGCAACAATACATACAAAGTTTTATAGGTTCAGCTGTCATTTTGGCTGATAAATAAAATGGATATACAGTTGTAGGTAGAAATTTGACGCCTGGGAAAATTACGTTTTGTTGATTTCCTAAGTGATAATAAGTTAACACATACTTCACAGGAATCAGACTTCATAATGGCATTTTTGGCATAATGGCATACAATGTATATGCATTGTACATGTCGAGATTTTGAAAAGCTAAAACCTTCACTCAGAAACACTGTAAAGTAATGCCTCAGGCATCAAGTAATATATTTGTGACCTCACATAGCTTTCTGTGAAATAGCCCTTACAGACATTAAATACATCAGGTGTCTGGTTCCTATCACTACAGCTGTGAACAATTCTGTTTCAGTGAGTTTGTCTAGAACATTTCTCATCAAACTACTCTGAATGACTGTGTTTCATCTTAACTGTTTAATTAGGTAGAAATTTTGAGAAATCAGTGGAATTCCCCTTCACATTTTCCCAAACTTGACTGGTATTGTGTGTGTGTCTATGTGGGTGGGTTTATGTATGTGATGTATGTGTGTGTGTGTGTGTGTGTGTGTGTGTGTGTGTAGTCCAGATGATGGATTATAGTTGCCATTCATACCAAAATAGTTGTTTGCCCACTTGCCCTGTATTCCCCTATAAAACCCTTATCCCCTACTCGATCACTCAATGATGTCATAATAGCTTCTTTGCAGCAGCTCCATTTCTCAGCCACAGCCCTGCGCCCGCTCTGCCAGCACACCTGCACTTTCTTTCAGCAGCCAAATAGAGACCCCTTGCTTGGACATCTACACACATGACCCAAATTAACCCCCTTATCCCAGCTGTGCTGACCCATTCCCTCTGCCCAGGTGGAGCCTGTCCTTCTGGAGAATCACTAAAAGGCCTAGCACAGTGCCTGACTCCCCCCAATTTAACAGGAATTTAACCCTTCCTGCATTGCACATGAGTGCAGAGGAGGAATGAACAGGTGGCAGAATAAGTGCTGGAGAAGAGAGAGGACTGCTGTATTCGTCTCGTTTCATGTTGCTTATTTAAGTGTGTGTGAAGCTGCCAGAGGCTACCTGCTCAGTGCTGGTCTTGTGGGGGTCCAGACCACTGATGAACAATCATTGTATTGGTGGAAGTCCCTTTTGCACAACAAAGTGCATCTACATGATAAGAAGACCTGATAAAATGGACAAGGAGTGTAGATACAAAGTAGGTGTAACTGATAAAGTGGCCAATGACTGTATATGTGAAATCATGTCGTTTTGTGCAGTGACTGTGCTGAAAAGATGTTCTTGCTACAGTGAGAATCAACCGATCAGGATTATGCATTATTCCTTTAAAAGATATTTGTTTTGTAACTCTTCATAAAAATTAAGATCACGGTATTTTTAAATTTCTGTTGCTTTCAGTATATGGTACAGTGTATTTATATATGGACCCTTCTACCAAATTAATTCAAACTCCAGTCCCACAGTAAAAAAAAAAAACAATCAAGTATTCAAACCTCAGTTACTTAAAAGAATTTTTTATGATGTATTTAAACCCAAGGCATTAATTGAGATCGTAATAAGACAAATATATACATAATCATTGTTAATATATGCATGTGTTATATAAGTATTATGTATTTTCTATTGTAAGGTGGCTGTCTCAAACTCTAACCCCTAAAATTCAAAATTCAGTTGAAAGATTTAGGTTTACAATGAAAATGCTGTCCCACATTTTCATGTCACTACTGAAACACAAAGAGTTTTAGGCTATAGGCGGAGCCTTATTTTAGCTACACCCCTGTATTTTAGAACAGGAAGTGAGACTGTATCCCTGTCCCTCATGGGGACATTTTCTGCTCTTAAGTAAATGTTTTGTCTTTTAATGAAGAATATGATTTTATTTGTTCAACTGTTCAAAGCAAGCATACTGGCTAGTGTTTTTGAATTATGCTCAAAAAATGCTAAAATTTTCACTTTCACTACAGTTTCAGTATTGTTGTGATTGTTTTGATAGTTATTAGAAAGCAGAACTTTCAATCATTTATTTAAAAAAAAATATTGAGGGTCATTCAAACGATTCTAGTCTTAAGTCCAGGTCAGTTAAAAGGCCCAAATGTGTTTCGAACTCGAAGAATGATCATGATCCATATATGTTTTATATGAAATCATTTCAGTGGCCTATTATTCTGGAATGTTGTTTATTTTTTGTAAGAACCATCAAAGTTGCATGCAACCCACTCAATTACCCTACTATATATATATATATATATATATATATATATATATATATATATATATATATATATATATATATGATACACCTTATCGTTCTCTATAAAGATTGGTGTAATGTAAATAAAAGTAATTTATCTATTTATCCAGGGTTCTTTACTATATGTTTGACATTTTAAATCTGTTCTGTGTATGTTAAGCCTGTGAACATGGTGGAGGACCACATCTCTGTCTCCTCTTCAGTAATCATTTTCATCCTTTGGATCCTAAAGGAATCTGAGTTCTGTTTAAAATAGAATTCTAGAATTCTAAAGAAACATGGCATGAGCAGCTGTTTAAACAGCTGTTTACAGAAATGTTAGTTTTGAGAAACTCATGCTTGTTGTCAGGGCTCATGAAACTGAAATGAATGAAAATAAAAAAAATACTAACCTTGAGTTTGTTGGTCTGCTGAAATCGTTTGTTTGAAAGTATAATCATGTGATGCACTATACTATCATAGGCATTATGACTGTAACTGTTGCGACCGAGTTTCAAATGAGTTGAAAGGCACTTTACATCATGCAACTCAAGTGCAATTTATTTTCGTTTAGGTTTCAAACAACTAAAGTTGCACGAAAGTTTCAGTGTGTAACGAATTTTTACTGGTATAATGGATGAACTTGTATATCGCCCACTAACACTAGCAACACAGATTGTGAGACTGGGAGTGAAACTCACCCGACTGAGTACATTCGGCAGTGTTTAGTGTTGATGCGTTGGGCCAGGCTGAATCTCTTATCCAAGCATAGCACCCATGACCTCTGAACCTCCTCACCATCACTATGTAATACTGGAAATCCAGGGTTTTCACAGGACACCTGCGCACACACGTATGCACACACACACACACACACACACACAAACACACACACACACACAAACACACACACACACAAACACACACACACAAACACACACACACACACAATAAATTGTACACTTCATGTCAGATCCACACTGTCAGCAGAATCAAGCCAGACTGAATGGTCACTTCAACTTCAAGGTCAGAACATTCAAAAGATGACTGCCTGCAAAGTTATACAGTTATTTAAACTTCAGAAACTGTCCAATGTCTTTAATGGTAATTCTTCCTATGTCAACATTTTGTGCTATATAGAGACAGAATCCATGTTTTCTTTATGATTTTGTTCGATGACTCGTAGTTTGATTGGAGTTACACTAATGTTAGCTTGGTTATATTTACTAGCCTGTAAATTAGTGGCAAGGCTAGCTGTCAGAATTAGTTGACATCACAGGGATTCCCAGTGGTAGTGGTAATACAATGCTGGGTATTGCACCGAAGGAACATGAAGACAATCCACATTATTTTTCATGTCACTGCTGTATTTCAAGATTATGATCAAAATATCCGGGTGGGCAATGGAAGTGTAGGCTACTATTGTTTTGGCTAAGTCAAGGAATGTGTGCTTACTTGGAAAGTTATCTTTTTATGTCTCATTAAATGTCTCTGAGGCATTTCTGGGACAACATGCAGTTCTCACAACATGCAGGTTTATTACACAGTTCTATAACCTGAGAATAGCTCAACCAGTTTTACATTGGAGTCCTTGTAGGTACAGAATAATAAGCCTTAGTATGTAATAAACCTGTGATTTTAAAGGGTTAAACATCTGAATTCACCCTTTTCTTGTGAGAGCTGTTTTTGATGTAGTCCTATGCTAGTTTTCACTCAAAATGAAGAAGTTAACTTATAGACAATGATTAGTGTTGAAAGTAATGTTGTTGCTGTTTATTTATACTGCTGAATTCATCTTGGCAGACAATCAAAATTCTGGCAGGTTTCGGTTTTAATTGCAGATTAAGGCTTTAATCTTAGATTTGTTAATCCATATTTAAGATTCTGTGATGAAACACAACTCAATTAAAAAATAAAACCTAGACTGACAGATCCTTGATTAGCTCTAAACTTAATTTAAATCTTGTTGGTTCAACCCACCCTTAGATCAGTTATAACTGCTTAGTAACTAGTAGCTGGTTGGATGTCAGCCAATTATGTCATCATCTAATTTAATTCATTTAATTTTACCAGTTAATTTTAGTTTTACTCATAGTTTTTCATATGCTTGTTTAAGTGTGGCACTGCTGTTTTGCTGGTATTGTGAGTAAATATCATCTAAATATGTATCATAACATCAATTTCTAAAAATATTTAGAAAAAAAGGATGTTAAAACTTTTGCCATTCCTCCCATACTTAAAGAGAACCAGCAAGTCCTAGGCAGAACCAATTCCTGATAAGTCATTACAGAACCTCTATAAACAGGGTTCCTCTACAGGGATATGCTGAGGAATCCCAAAAATGGATCAGTAGTAGAAAAAAACACTTTTTTATTTCATATTGGACCAGTGCAAAAGAATTAGGAACTGTAGGACATGAATAAAGGCTGAGGAGTTCTTTCTACTTGCCCTGGGCTGTGTTTAATCAATCTTTTAATCAATCTCAATCTCCCTTAACTGCATTTCTAAACGCTCTGAAATTCACCTTAATCAAGCAGATCAATGTGATGCCAGTTTTGTGCTCTGTTAAGGCCTATTTAACTCTATGTGCCTCATTTACACTTATTATAATGTCTTACAGAAGACTCAGACATTACAAAACAGCTTTGCACCTCCATCTGACATGCTCTCTTCTTCCGTTTCTCTCTCTCTAACATGCATCATCACCATCAGTTTCCCTCTCATGCTGTATTTTGTCACCTTCTCACTTTCTCGGCTCTCTTTCTCTTGCTGCTATTCTTAATCAAATCATCACACTTCCTGAAATTCACAGAGAGGTGCTGATTTGTCTTCCTCATCTGTGTAATTTTGTTCCTTCACTGTTTATCCATGTCTTTTGCTTTTTGACCCCACCATCCCTTTTTCTCTTGTCTCTACTTTTTTTATTTTTAGATAAATGCTAGTACACAGGTATGAATATATAGTTTATAGCATCTTACAGCTGATTTCCCAATAGTCTCTACAGGCAGATTTTCTAGTTTAAAGACCAGGATGGTTGTATCTTGAAGGTGGGAGAAACTTTCGAAAAGCTACAGCTTTGGAGTGGAGTTTTGGGAACAGGCTGTTTTGTAAGTTTTTTTTAGCTAGTGAATACAGAAAAGCAGATAGCTAAATAGTTAATTTAATTATTAACTATTTTAATAGTCAGAATCACAGTTTTCCTTATGATTTTGTTTGATAACTGAGGTAAGAGTTACACTAATGCTCATTGGTTGTGTCCATTAGTGACCACCATATTTCAAGTTTATGGCTAAAATATCCAGATCTGGGAACAGTTAAGTCACGGTTAGCTAAGTCAAGGGATGTGTGCTTACTTTATCGTTTTACATCCCATTTAATGTCTCTGAGGCATTTCTGGGATGGCATGCATTTTGTGGCTGTCACTACAGCTGAATGAAGCTGAAAGTACAGCAAGAACAGGAAAGTTACGAACATGAACCTTTTATAAACCTCTCTACTACAAAGAACATAAGAATGTGGCTTCATAATTACTGCTTGAAAAAGTCCAGCTGTTAATGTTGAAATTTGGACTCATAAAATCCAACCTGGTTAAAGAATTGCTGGTTGCTAAAAGACTGTCTAATCTGGTTTATGCATTATATTCTCTGAAACTGGATATATTCTGGCCCACTAGAGCAGGCTGAGCAGGTCAGCAGAAAGCTAACAGGCTACACACGAAGTAAAGAACATGTTACATGCATGCCTGTTACAAGCATTTCTCTCAGACAAGTTCAGGATTCTGTTGACAGGTCGATAACATACCGACTAATAGCTCAATTGGAATAGAATATGTCCACGTAAAAACCTCAAAATCAAATTGAGCATATAAACACCTCAGTCTTAATCTATAATCGGATTGGCAAAAGTCTTTGCATGTCAACATAGCCACTGGCACTAAAGCACTGCAGAACTCAGGTTTTTTACCCTTTCTCTAATTAATTTTTTTAACCTTGTGGCCTTTTTGGTGTGCAAGTCATTTGGCTACTTTTGCCATGTCCTATTTTTTATCTACGTACCCAAGTTCAAATGTCTTCTGATGTTGTCAGCATTTCACATGTTTAACATATATAGTCTGTTTAGAAAGTTATGGTTCTATATATGACATTATTATGAGGCATAGTCAAATTGAAAATTCTGCCACAGTAAATCTTATTAGGTTAAAATTCTCCTTAAAGGCTAGGATGACACTAAAAAAGATTTTCAAATGTGAATCACCCTTGCCATTGCAATTTACTCCAGGGCTAGACACGTTCAGGAAGCTGGCAATTAGTGCTGTTACTTTTAATTCTGCAGCTTTTTGAGTGAGCCACATCAGTATCAGGTTTATAAGGGTAAAAAATGTTCTCTGCTCTCATTCACTACCGAGCAGAAATTCCTCTGTTCTGAACAAAGCCGGTGCCCAAGAGTGTGGTTTGTGAAAGAGCTGTGTGAGTGTTGCATTGAGGGAGGAGCGAGGAGATTCTGGAGGTGGAGCTGTGGAGGAGAGGAAAGAAATAAGTGTATTCATCACCTCCTGCAGCTGCAGCACAGAACACACACTGCCAAGTTTGTTCTGTCAACAGTGTGTGCACGCCGCGAGAGAAGAAGAGAGAGAAAGAGGAGTATTGGGAAGCCTATCATAACTACTGACCATGCCAAAATCTCCCCCTCTGCAGCTGACATTCTGCTGTGTGTTCTCTCTATGCTCTCCATAAACCCTTGCATGCTAGATTACATTACAGCCTCGAAATAGCAGTTTGAAATGCCACAGTTCCTCTAGTTTTTCACTGAACATTGCTGAATTGCTGTTATCCATCCTATTTCTGGATAGAGCCTGCACCTGTGTATGTGTGTCAGAATCAGAATCATTTATTTTTGCAATCAATTCCAATTCCATTCCTTTGGGTTTTATTATTATTATTTAAAACCGTTTGAAAATGGCAGCTGCCCTGTTTATTGTGTGAATATTTCATGGTTAATGAATAGAAATGGCCCAAGCTTATATATGTACACACACACACACACACACACACTTTCTAAACCACTTATTCTACTGGGTCGCAGGGGGTGCTGGAGCCTATCCCCGCAGTCACTGGGCAAAAGGCAGGATACACTCTGTCCATCGCAGGGCAGACACACAAACATATATATATATATATACATATATATATATATATATATATATATATATATATATATATATATACATATATATTCACACACACACTCACACCTAGGGGCAATTAGCATGTCCAATTGGCTAGACTGCATGTCTTTGGACTGTGGAAGGAAATCGGATCACCCAGAGAAAACCCCACACAGACACAGGGAGAACTCCGGGGAACCAAACCCAGTCCCTTCTCACTGTGAGGCATCAGCGCTACCCACTGTCTGAATAAAAACATATATGGATCATTATACTGAATTGGTTCATAGTCAGAGTTAAAAACACATTGAGGACTTTTAACTGACATGGACTTTAGACTAAAATCCATTTGGTTTGAATGACTCTATACCTTAACTATGTTTATTGAACATTCTATTTTGCCAAAATGTTACTAAATGTTTTAGTAGTGACTGTTTCAGTAGTGACAATTTTAGCTAATTTAAAACTTTTTTCATTCAAGCATGCTATCCAGTACATTCCTAGCAAACACAGCTTTGAAAGGTTGTACACACATAACATATATATATATATATATATATATATATATATATATATATATATATATATATATATGTATATATATATATATATATATATATATACATACACACACAGACACACACGGCTATATGTATATGGCCTGTGAGCTTTAAAAGACTATACACTTCTGATCAGTTGGCTTGGCTAGAGGTGATGTGCTCTATTGATTTATGCCATAAAAGAAATCAAAGGTACTATACATGCTAGAGTTTAGTTTCAGTGTGTGTGTTTTACCTGTGGTGTAGTGATGTACTTGATGAATCGTAACGCTTCGTCCTCCAGGTTGTGCCTCTCACTGGCCCACGGCTCCAGCTCTATCTTCCACCTGAGAGACTACATGCACACATAGAGAGTCAGTCGCTGTAAAAAACAGAGATTTGTGCAGAAACATTGATTCTCTGAGGACAAAGACTGAGCTAAGCTGCAGTACACAGATCCCTCTTGATTACTGTATGCTTGCAGCGCAGTGTAGGACTGCACCAGTAGGACTCCATTCAAGGGTCCATATCATACATTTTTCTTGCATTTTATTTTCCTTTTCTAAGGTCCATTTATAAAAATTGCATTTTGTGTAACAAAAACAGTCATAATTAAATTTTAAAATGACCAGTTTCCAACCTCTCTTTATCCCTTAGAATATGGGTGTCCAATCTTTTCCACCAGTGTGGCTGCAGCAGGCCCAGATCAGTCAATGGGTTTTATGACCATGTGCCCAGGGGCCTGGGCCACTTGGGGGCCCCCACAAGCAATTTTGAGAAAGTCTAAACAACTTTCTTGACACATGGTGGGAATTTTATTAACGGCACAGTGAAAAAAAAAGAGCTAATTCTTCATTGTGTCACAGTTGATCAGAATCCTGATGCTCTCACATGATCAACAGTTTAAAAACTGAGGCTAACTGATTTAATAAGCATCAGGATCACCAGAATCTTGCTTGTTTGGAATGAAAATCTGCACCCATCAATGCTGAAGTTAAAAGGAGTGTTGTAGCCAGGATTGTTTTTTTAATGAGGTGAAATACAGGGTAGCCATTGAGAACAGAGGTCATTTACGTAAGTCAATGTTAAATCATAGTAACAAAAGAAAACTGTTTAATTTTAAGGGATAAAGAGAGGTTGGAAAACAATTATGTAAAAATTAATTATATTTTTTTGATACATAAAACCATACAAATCTTATACACCCACCATTATAAGACATAATAAGTAAGAAAAACACAGGACATAGGCCCTTTAAAGCAATAAATTGCAAAAGCCCATACATTACAGTGATTTTGCTATGTTGCTTGACATGAAGCGCTAAAATACAATATAACAAAATTACACTAATGTTCAATTAGCAATTTATTGTTCATAATGATTTCAATAAACAATTAGTAAGTTATAAACAGTGGCTTTCCAAGCAACAAAACAATCAAAGACAATTCCATGAACAGCACAATGGCTTTTAACAACCTTTTGCATTATAATGGAATTCAACTGATGACTTTGTTCAATTTGAGTATATTGAGTATTTCACTGTTTCAAACATGGCTCAGCCAATCAGATTATAGAACTGGAAATATCTGTTTTATCAGTGAAGCTGTTAGGACTTTTGTATGTATTTATGACTTTTTGCTCTGCTCTGACACAGCAGTGCTTAACACAGGACTGAGTCACCATAGCTGTAGAATTAAAGTCTTCCTCTCTGTTGAGAGCCAATAGCCCCCCTGCAGTCCCCCTGATTACTACACACACACTCACAAACACACAAACACAGTGGGGGGTTGTTGTCCTCGTTGTGGTTTCTCTGCTTGTCTGTACCCCTCAGTAAATCCTTTTATTGGGTCCTGTGGGCCTTTCCTCCTATGTTAGCTTGTTAGCATTAGCCTGCGGTGAGTGTTTGTTTGTCCTGTTGCAGACTGCTTCTGCTGCCTGTTGTGTGTGTGTGTGTGACTGATAAAGCCTTACTTTGCCTTGTTCAGAGAGAAGGAGATTAGGATGGTGATTGGTGAGAGGTGCTGGACTTGACTGACCTCACTACATTAGGCCTGTAGTGTTGTTTTAGCTGTAGTGTTTTAGGCAGTGGCTTGGCACAGTCACACATAGCATTGTTACTGTCACCAACAAGTCATCAGCCTTGTCCCTACATAACATTAATCTACACTTTTCACTAATTCACTGTAATCTATAAAAACAACATCAACATATTTAGCAACAGATAGACAGATAGATAGATACGCCACAAGTCAGTTTGTGAAATTTCTATTTTGCTAGATCTGCCCCAGCCAACTGTAAGTACTATTGTGGTAAAATGAAAGCATATAGGTGCAACAACAGCTCAGCCACAAAGTGGTAGACCATGCAAACTCACAGAGCATTACAGTGTGTAGCATGTAAAAATCATGCTATTGATCATGTTTAACTGGAATTAGCAGCACAAAATATTGAATAAAAATCATTGTATATTGTATGTTATATTGTAGATTTTAATAGTATTTTTAAAGTGTAGCACTTCAGATCAGACATCTGAAAAGAATAATATCGTGACATATCGTGTATCGTGAAAATTTCTTGAAGTTTCGCAATATTATATTTTTGCCGTATCGCCCACCTCTACCCTGTATGAATATGAACTTCAACTGCCAGTACAGGTTCTTCTTTTGGGATGTAAAGAACCATCATTACAGCTCATGCCGGCTGTACTGGAGTGCCCTTCATTTGAATGTACGTACTTTAGGGCTGTTACCCAATAGAACCAAGCTGTCCTCACATTCCTGGGCAGTGCGTATCTTTTGGCACAACTGACACAATCTGGCATTAATCATCTTCTAGCCATTAGTCTTCATCTGGAATGGTACAGACCAGTCGAAACCTACCTGCCCTTGTTAGTGCAAATCCCTGTTCTTATGACATAAATATTTGGACAGCAGTCGCAAAGCCAGAAGTAGATGGATATTTATCTTCCTCCTCCGTCTGGCTTGTATCACAACAGGAGTGTTTTTTTATGGCTCCACTGAGTCTAAACCTTTCCTATCTTGGATCTTTTTATAGATCAGTTTATTCTACTCGTTCATGGCTGTCAAACAAATCTTGGAGAACGTTGAGTCAGCGTTTGTTTAGAAGGAAAACTGACGAGCTTGTTCCTCTCTTCTCTTTGACCTCCCTCCAACACCACCCTCCCATTCTGTACAAGGTGTCTACATTAAGTGTTCTTTTATGGTTGTTCTTTCATGCTCTTGCTGGACTAAATATCTCTGTATGTTTCTTTTGTCTCCCAGCTTTTCTTGTCAGTTCTTCACTGGTGTGGCGCGGTGCTGAAATGAAATGTTTTTCAATCTTGAAGACTTTTCGCCTCTCTCTCGCTCTCTCCCTCTCTGTCTGACTGCAGGACCCTGCAGGAGTTCACTTATTATTCACCCGGCTGACATTTTCATTTATATCCCTGGAAGTGGAAGGCGAGTGCAGCGTGTGTTCGGCTGCATCTTTTATAAGCTTCTGATTGGCCACAGTCAGCTACTGCAAAGCCCCCCCAATCAGACTTAATCAATTACCTATGAGTCATAATAGCATTGCTGACTCTATTTCACGCTCTCTCTCTCTCTCTTTCTCTCTCTCTCTCATTTCAACGGTTTGAAATTATTGCCGTAATAATGTGTGATAAAATGCCGCCTCGCAGGTATAACATTTCTGTACTGCGCAGCATGTTTTCAGACCTACATATGTATTTGCATGTGCCTGTGCCTGTGCTTCTCTCTGACTGCAGCATTTGTTGAGCCCAACAGGGAAACTGTGAGGAAGTGTAAGGCAGTAATTGACCAATTAGCGTGAATGAGACTGAGACAGCAGGACTGAGGGAATGGATAATACAGAGGAGAGATGAGAAAAAATAGGGCCTTTTACAGGCTAAATGTAGGGTATTTCCTGATCAGAGGATAAAAAAAAACATAAGCATAGATATTGGAGGAAAGGCGATGTGTTGTGATTGCTTTGGTGAGATGTAAAGTCTCCTCCCTCATCCAGTGTTGCTTCACTCAAGTCCTGAGTCGAGTCCTACATCAAGTCAAGTCTCGATTCAAGTCCTGAGTCAGTAAAGGCAAGCCTCAAGTCAAGTCCGGTCACTTTGTGCAGACATGCTGCTTTGTAAGTGTTGTTTTCAATGAACACCAGCACATGGTAACACTCAGCACTGTTCCTATTTCTCAGCATGGCACTCAGCAATTTGACTTCACCACACACCTTCAGAGAAAGACATAACAGATCAAATGTGCTGCTTGAAATTTACACAAAGAAATGCAGTCAGTTTTAGATCAACAGAAAGATGCTAATGGTATGTTACCTCAGCTAATATTTCTATTAAACCTATAAAAAGGCTTCTGCATCTAAAGGTGTAATTCTTTGTCTGTGTTGACACCTGCAGGGCCCTCCACAAATATTGGCACCCCTGGTAATCATGAGCAAAATGAGCTGTAAAAAATATTCTTAATTATTTATCCTTTTGACCTTTCATTCAAAATACTAGCAAAAATCTAACCTTTATTTAAGGTGTAATGATTGAAAGAAAAACCTAAATGTTATCACGAAATAAATATTTCCATTAAATGTATGTGTGCCACAGTTATTGGCACCCCAAAATTTAAAGTTTATCTGAGCAATTAGGAACACTTAAATGGTCAGCTATGACGAGTGGACAAAGAATCTTCAAGGATCATAGATGGAGAATTGCAGAAATTAGTTAGGTCTGGGGGTCAGAATGTCTCCCAAACTACAAACACCACCTATATAACCACAAGTTGTTTGGGTGGGGGTTGCCAGTAGAAAGCCTCTGCTGTCGAGGACCAACAAATTCAAGCTCTGACAGTTTGCCAAACGCTCCTGGAACTTTCAGTGGGACCATCTTCTATGTTCAGACGAGACCAAAATAGAGGTTTTTGGCAAAAAAACCCAGAGGTATGGTGAAGTATGGTGGTGGATCCAGGAGACTGAGGCTGTTTTTCGTGCAAAGGCCCAGGACAATTTTTTGCATACATAGTATCACAGACTGCATCAAGTACCAGCAGAAAAAAAATCAAAAGCTAACTGCTTCAGCCAGGAAGTTTAAACTGGGCCGTTGGATCTTCCAGCAGGACAATGATCCAAAACACAACTTAAAATCAACACAAAAATGGTTCGCTGACAACAGAGTTGTAATGTTTCAAATACAAATTTGAAATCACAGAAATAGTTTGTAGCATTTGCCTCAAATAAAGCTTAGAAAATGTATTTTTCAGGCTGTAATGGCTACTGCTTGAGGAGGGAGGGCTTTTGCTACTTGATGCTTTAACAGCAAGGTAAAAACAGATGCCATGTTGAGCG